CATGACACAAAACCGAGCGCAATGGCGTTCTAGGATTCATATAAAAGCCGACCCCACTTAGTGGGAAAAGGCTTTGTTGTTGTTGTTGTTACAGTTTCTTTCAGTCCTTGTTTTGTTTTTCAAATTTTAAACTTGCTGAAGTTAAAATGGTATTTCTTTTATTGAATACAGATTAATATGATCATATTGTGAATGGCTCTGTCTGGAGATTGCACAATTCACTATTGGCACTTGAGTCGGATATATGTGTCCCATTCATGTTTTGCAACTAGCTCTGGAACTATGTTGCAAATAAACGGCAATCATTGGCACCTTCGGACTACCAAAATTTGATCTCCTGATGCTGCTCATTGCCATCGTATCTTCTCTTGTGCTAGGGATTAGTTTCCTCTTAGATTAGTGCTAAGACTAATCTCCTGAGGCTGCTTTGTAATTGTATCTTTCATGACTCCTATATGCCATTTGATGCAGATTCAATGTGAATCCAAGGCATCAAATGCGAGAGCACAATGGCAAAGCGTCCATGGGAAATCTATGGTTTCACAACTGACGCGTTGCTCTCCAGGTTTCTTCATTTCTTTTCTTTCCGCCTAAAATTAGATATTCTTTAATCATGTGACTGATTGGGATCAAATTAGAGTAAATTAATCTTTGTTCAACCTTTTTGAGTTTTTACTGGAATAACAATCTTTCTACTTGTACTGCCCTGCTTTGATATCTGCAAGTACTGCAACCTGGTTTGAGCTGTCTTACATCCTGAGTTAGTTTTACTTTCTTTCGCGAAATCCTGCTCATTCTTTACCTTCTTGCGGTAATTAAGCATTGTATTCGCGCCTAAAGAAGTCGAATATAAATTATAACTAGCTGCAGAAAAGAAAGTATTCTTTCTGCACAAACTAAAAAGAAAATCAAGTTGAATTTAAGAGAGCAGCTCTCCATTATTTGGTCATCAAATTTACAAATCATCAAATGTAGAATTACAGGAAAAACGGAGCCAGTTCATTGATAATTTGACATGATCATCCGGAACAAAACACAATAGACAATTAAAGAAACACTAAAATTAATAAGAAGAGAAATTAAAGCCGGTGAAAATCGTGTTACAAATCTTCATTCAATACCGAGTTCTGCAGGTAGTGAAATTAATTACATCAAAATAAGTGGCATGAACTGATCTTCCGTAAACGAATAACTATCCAATTAGCGGCTTCCGAATAATGATTGTTCGACCACATTGTCGAAGGCACTTGGATGATAAGCTTCCTCTACTCCTCCATCAGCAAGCATAAAATCCCTGTAGAAACTTGGATTCAGAGGTTCCTCTTCTTGCGTTTCAGCCAGCCAATATTGCTCTAGTAAACTTGGATCCCAATCTTTCTCTTCAACGGTTCCATCTTCAGCAGTCCCAGATGATGCTGGCAAAGGCAGTTCTCGGATTTCAGGAATTAACTTCTCTAACATATGTTGTGCTAGGATAGCACCAAAACCTTTTTGGAACCAACTCAAGCTAACCCACAAGAAATTTATCAAATGAAAATGCAAGAACAAAATATTAAAAACACCAAGATTTTAATGAGGTTCCTCAACAGTCAGTGTAACTGGAGTACGTCCTCGGAGCAGTAGGAGCTCACCCACTAATCCACTATCAACCAAATGGGAGTTTACAAAGTGTTGGCAATCTCACAACCCAAATAACCCAATACACCCAATAACTCTCACACTCTAAAGAAACAAATAGAGAAAGAAATATAGTGATTAATTTTTTCTCTATACAAAGCTCAAAGCTATTACAACAATAACACTTTGATGGAGTGAGAAATATCCAATGAAAGGAACAACAACTCCTTCTCTGAAAATGGTACTGCAGCAGTACCTTCTTTCTCTCCCTCTCTTCTCTTCGGCTCTCTAATTTTTCTGCTCTCTGCAGCTTGCACTCCTTTTCTCTGCAGCTCTCTCCTATCTCTTCTCTAAAACAAAATGAGCTTTTATTTCTCACCCTTTCTTCTACCCGTGACTTCTCACATGGACCAAAGAAAAACTTTAGACAAAGTGTGCTTTTCTTTTCCCCAAAACAAGGAAGAAACATCATCATGTTGTCTTTTTTTCTTTTGAATTGTTTATAGCCAAAAGTTGGCCACTTGGCCACATACTCCAACAACATATTTGGATTCAAAGCTTGATCTTCCACTTCTCCATGGGCAACGACAACGGTGGAAAAAACCGACAGTGGCACTTCTTGTCTTTCTTTACCCAATAACAATTCCTCTGAGGCAGAAGCTGTTGGAAAAAGCACTTCTACTGCTCCATCGGTCGGCTCTTTAGCCAATATTTTATTTAATTCGGCAATGGTGATGGTCAATCTCTGATCATTATCATCATAACCATAATCAACATAATCACTGACTGGAAATTCATTGTTCTCTTGATCAGAAACCACGGAATTACTAGTTAGACAAGAATTGCCTCGTCGTCCTTCCTCCTCAACATTGATCGCATGCATGTTTTGTTCGATCTCTTCGTTAGCACGCTTCTTCTTCATCTTCGGCACTTCATCATCCTGTGAAGATGAAGTCGAACACTTTCTCTTGTTAATGCCAGACGTGTTCCTCAACCGACAAAGCACAAAATCGAAGTCGTAACGTGTATGGCTGTTGCGCTTCCTCGGAGATGCAAAGAGTGTTGGAAATTCAAATAAAAAAGGCCATGTGATGTCTAGCTGTTTGTCCATGTGATGCTAGCTATTCTTTCCAGGTTGTTTCCAGTAACTACAAACATCATTGCTCCCTCCATTTGTTAGCCGAAAGGTGATTACAAGACAGTAGTTGTTGGATATATGTCAACAATCCGCAATAAAATAAATATCCACAATTAGTTGAGTCGATTTGAAATGTGCTATTCATGTTTTGCAACTAGCTCTGAAGGTGAGGAGGTTAAGACCAAGTTGGATGACAAGAACTCGTTCGCTCGAGAACTGCACCTACAAGATGATGAACACTGTGAAGGATGAGAACGAAGATCTCAATTTCATCCAATCATAGAATCTTTGACGCTGTTATAGTTTGGTGCCTGATGGAATATTGTAAATTGCAAGCATACTGGTTTCAGCTGTCCTACATCTTTGAGTTAGTTTTACTTTCTCCAAAACCTGCTCATTCTTGAACTTCTTGCTGTAATTAAGCTTTGTGCTCACGCCTAATGAAGTCGGATTTAAATTATAACTAGCTGCAGACAAGAAATTATACATTTTGAACAAATTGAAAAGGAAATTAAGTTGAATTTAAGAAAGCAATTCTCCATTATTCGGTCATCAAATTTACAAATCATCAGAAGTAAAATTACTGGAAAAACGGAAACAGTTCATTGATAATTTTACATGATCATCCGTAACAAAACACTATAGGCAATTGAAGAACACAAAAATTAATAAGAGGAGAAATTAAAGCCGGTGAAAATCGTGTTACAAATCTTCATTCAGTACGAAGTTCTGCAGGTAGTGAAATTAATTACATCAAAATAAGTGGCATGAACTGATCTTCCGTAAACGAATAACTATTCAAGTAGCTGCTTCCGAACAATGATTGGTCAACCACATTGTCGAAGGCACTTGGATGATAAGCTTCCTCTACTCCTGCTCCATCAGCAAACATAAAATCCCTGTAGAGACTTGGATTCCGAGGTTCCTCTTCTTGGGTTTTAGAAAGCCAATATTGCTCTAATAAACTTGGATCCCAAGCTTTCTCTTCTACGGTTCCATCTTCAGCACTCCCAGATGATGCTGGCAAAGGCAGTTCTCGGGTTTCAGGAATAAACTCCCCTGACATATTAGTATACAAAGCTTGATCTTCTCCTCCATCGGCAACGACGGATGAAACCGGCGGTTGCACATCTTTTCTTTCTTTACCCAATAACAATTCCTCTGAGGCAGAAGCTGTTGGAAAAGGCGCTGCTACTGCCCCATCGGTCGGCTCTTTAGCCAATAGGTCGTCTAATTCGCCGGCAGTGATGGTGAATCTCGGATCATTATCATCATAACCATAATCAACATAATCACCGACCATAAACTCATTGTTCTCTTGATCAGAAAGCACAAAATTACTAGTTAGACAAGAATTGCCTTGTCGTCCTTCCTCGTCAACAACATTGATCGCATGCATGTTTTGTTCGATCTCTTCGTTAGCCCGCTTCTTCTTCATCTTCGGCACTTCCTCATCCTGTGAAGATGAAGTCGAACACTTCCTCTTGTTAATGCCAGACGTGTTCCTCAACTGACAAAGCACAAAATCGAAGTCGTAACTTGTATGGCTGTTGCGCTTCCTTGGAGATGCAAAGAGACTGTATTCGTCTAGTTTCCACCCGCCGTGGTCCTCGGTGCCTTCATTCTTGTACCAGAAGGTTCTCTTTAGTCCGATGCAGGTAGAATTACCCTCAGTCCCTTCAATCCAAGCGGGCACCGACTTGCCTTCCCAAGTACCTCCGAGCCCCATCCTACGATCAACATTGGAACCCTTGGGGGTTTTCTTCTTGAGCTCAGAGAAGAAGTACAAGGCGGGTTGATCAGCAGCGCCAAGTTGAAGTGCTGCTCCTCCCCCAAAAGCTTCCCAAATCTGAGAGGGTTGGAATTTGTTGCCGAAGAGGTTGCACTTGTGCATGAAGGTGCTGTGCGGCGGCGGGGGCAGTAGCCGCGGTGTCTTCACCAAAAAGTAGTGGAGAAAGCCACCGACGAGTTCTTGATCGGTGGGTTTGAAGCGGAAACCGGGCCGGAAAAGGGAATGGTTCTCCATTAACACCACAACGCAGAAGAAGAAGAGAGGAGTCGAGTAGTGAAGTAGGTTTGTGCTGTCGTTGCTGTGGATTTTTATGTGACGATTAGAGAGGGCGTTGTTTGGGTATTTATAGAATGCAATCTCCTGAACCTATTAGGATTTACCGAATTTGGATAGAATTTTAGAGAGAGAGATAGCGAAAAATTAGAGGTATATTTAGAGAGAGGGGGAGTGGCAGTGTAGTTGCTTGGAGGGTAAGAAATTAGAAACCCTAACTTTTAAGTCGGCCTGATTGTATTAGGAAATAGAGAGAGAAACCCAATTTTAGTAGGTTCTCTTCATTTATGTTAAGTTTTATAGCCGTTAAGTCATTTTAATTTAACTTATTTTAATTCAAGTTACCCCATATTTTTTCGTTAGTTCTTTTAATTCCAAAAAATTGTATACGCTAGTTCTGTTTTCTCTTTTATATTATTCGCTTTTATATATTTTTTTTCATAAAGAGAGACAACTGGTAAAAAACCGCGGTTACCCACTTCTTTCGGGCTAGAGAGGCTATTGGGAATTTCATTCCATCCATGCCGTGGCCACATTAAAGCAGATTTACCAGCTTAGAGTATTGAACCTGGAACCTCTCATTTTTTGTTTATTGGGGAACGGTAGTCTGCACCCTTACCATTGGGCCACTTGATGTTGTTTATTATTAAGAAATTTTAAGTTTTGGTATTTACCAAACTCAAACTCCAACTTTCCTTTTCACTGCGCTCCTCGCCGAGCCAATTTCTCTAGCAACCGGCACTATGCCATAGGTCCCGCCACAACGATGACTACGGAACTGGAAGTTGGAAAGCTGGGTTGGGTCGGAGCTCAGGTATTAACTTAATCTCTATATGTAATTTGGATTGGGTTGTGAGTCTTGTGACTAGTCAGTTGTATGCATGTAAAATGTTTGATAAAATGCGTCCTGTCCAACTTGGTGGTTGGTTTGTGTTCGCTTTGTTCTGTTTTGTTTAAATATAGCTTCTTTTAGCCTTCTCACAATTGTAAACTTGCATTGTAAGTTCGTATGCTTACATTGTTGGTCCGTTGTCGCGTACATGGCTTGTGTTTCGGGCATTGCAGCATTTGCCTCGAGACAAGGTTCAGTTGGCTAAAAAATTTGGTCTCGTAAGGTTTGACACTGATGACATTGTAGTAAATGGCACTCCTGAATATGTCCAGTCGTGTTATTGAAGGTAGCCTGAAACGCCTTGGTGTGGACTACATTGATCATTATTATCTGCAACGCGTAGATACGTCAGTCCCCATAGAGGACACTGAAAGTGTTACCTATACTTCCTCACTGTTAAGTCTTTTGGTTAGTTTTTTTCCCCAAATTCCTGGTTGTTTTAGTTGATTATTGAAGCTAGTCCAGAACAATAAGGAGGGCACATGCAGTTCATCCCGTTGCTGCCAAACAGAATGGTGGTTTTGGACTCGCGACATTGAGGAAGAAATCATCTGAAGCTAGTACAGACACAATAATGTGATCATTTTCCCTCCCATTGTTGGCAGGAGAACCATGTAGAGGCACCTGAAGAGTTCCCAAAGAAGGCTAAACTGTTCTTCGCCCATGCTGCTGAAAATTGGAATGCTGAGTTTTACTCCAAATTCAATGACGATGTTTATGCAACTGTTGGTCAGTATTATCATTTATTAGACGGACACGAACGCTTTTCAATTTGCATTTGTATGATACTTGAGTCCAAATTAATTCAGGTATAGTTTCTTCTCAGTCCTCCTTTTGTTTTTCAAATTTTAAAATTGCTGGCAGTGAAAATGGTATTTCTTTTATTGAATATAGCTTAGAGTAAATTGTATGATCATATTGTGAATGGCTCTGTCTGGAGATTGCACAATTCATCATTGGCACTTGAGTAGGATATCTGTGTCTCATTCATGTTTTGCAACTAGCACTGGAACAATGTTGCAAATAAACCGCAATCACTAGCACCTTGGGGGTACCAAAATTTGATCTCCTGATGCTGCTTATTGCAATCGTATCTTCTCTTGTGCTAGGGATTATTTTCCTCTTAGATTAGTGCTAGGACTAGTCTCCTGATGCTGCTTTGTAATTGTATCTTTCATGACTCCCCCATATGACATTTGATGCAGATTCAATGTGAATCCAAGGGATCGAATGCGAGAGCACAATGGCAAAGCGTCCATGGGAAATCTATGGTTTCCCAACTGATGCATTGCTCTCTAGGTTTCTTCATTTCTCTTCTTTCCGCCTAAACTTACTTAGTTCTTTTAATCTTTGTTCAACCTTTTAAGGTTTTACTGGAATAACAATCTTTCTACTTGTACTGCCCTGCTTTGATATCTGCAAGTACTGCAACCTGGTTGGAGCTGTCTTACATCTTGAGTTAGTTTTACTTTCTTTTAGTTTTACTTTCTTTCTCCAAATCTTGCTCATTCTTTACCTTCTTGCGGTAATTAAGGTTTGTGTTTGTGCCTAATGAAGTCAAATTTAAATTATAACTAGCTGCAGACAAGAAGTTATTCTTTCTGTGCAAATTAAAAAGAAAATCAAGTTGAATTTAAAGAAACACTAAAATTACTGGAAAAAAGGAGCCAGTTCATTGATAATTTTACATTATCATTCGGAACAAAACACAATAGACAATTAATGAAACACTAAAATTAATAAGAAGAGAAATTAAAGCTGGTGAAAATCGTGTTACAAATCTTCATTCAATACCAAGTTCTGCAGGTAGTGAAATTAATTACATCAAAATAAGTGGCATGAACTGATCTTCCGTAAACGAATTACTATCCAATTAGCAGCTTCCGAATAATGATTGGTCAACCACATTGTCGAAGGCACTTGGATGATAAGCTTCCTCTACTCCTCCTCCATCAGCAAACATAAAATCCCTGTAGAAACTTGGATTCAGAGGTTCCTCTTCTTGCGTTTCAGCCAGCCAATATTGCTCTAGTAAACTTGGATCCCAAGCTTTCTCTTCAACGGTTCCATCTTCAGCAGTCCCAGATAATGCTGGCAAAGGCAGTTCTCGGGTTTCGGGAATTGACTCCTCTAACATATTTGGATTCAATGCTTCATCTTCCACTTCTCCATGGGCAACGACAACGGTGGAAGAAACCGACAGTGGCACTTCTTGTCTTTCTTTACCCAATAACAATTCCTCTGAGGCAGAAGCTGTTGGAAAAAGCACTTCTACTGCTCCGTCGGTCGGCTCTTTAGCCAATATTTTGTTTAATTCGGCAATAGTGATGGTCAATCTCTGATCATTATCATCATAACCATAATCAACATAATCAACATAATCATCGACTGGAAATTCATTGTTCTCTTGATCAGAAACCACGGAATTACTAGTTAGACAAGAATTGCCTCGTCGTCCTTCCTCCTCAACATTGATCGCATGCATGTTTTGTTCGATCTCTTCGTTAGCACGCTTCTTCTTCATCTTCGGCACTTCATCATCCTGTGAAGATGAAGTCGAACACTTTCTCTTGTTAATGCCAGACGTGTTCCTCAACCGACAAAGCACAAAATCGAAGTCGTAACCTGTATGGCTGTTGCGCTTCCTCGGAGATGCAAAGAGACTGTATTCGTCCAGTTTCCACCCGCCGTGGTCCTCGGTGCCTTCATTCTTGTACCAGAAGGTTCTCTTTAGTCCGATACAGGTAGAATTACCCTCAGTCCCTTCAACCCAAGCGGGCACTGACTTGCCTTCCCAAGTACCTCCGAGCCCCATCTTTCGATCAAGTTTGGAACCCTTGGGGGTTATCCTCTTAAGCTCAGAGAAGAAGTACAAGGCGGGTTGATCAGCAGCAGCAAGTTGAAGTGCTGCTCCTCCCCCAAAAGCTTCCCAAATTTGAGAGGGTTGGGATCTGTTGCCGAAGAGGTTGCACTTTTGCATGAAGGTGTTGTGTGGCGGCGGGGGCAGTAGCCGCGGTGTCGTCACTAAAAAGTAGTGGAGAAAGGTACCGATGAGTTCTTGATCGGTGGGTTTGAAGCGGAAACCGGGCGGGAAAAGGGAATGGTTCTCCATTAACACCACAATGCAGAAGAAGTCGAGTGGAGTGGAGTCGAGTAGTGAAGTAGTTTTGTGTTGTGGTTGCTGTGGCTTTTGATGTGACGATTAGAGAGGGCGTTGTTTGGGTATTTATAGAATGCAATCTCCTGAATCTATTAGGATTTACCGAATTTGGATAGAATTTTAGAGAGAGAGAGAGAGAGATAGCGCAAAATTAGAGGTATATTTAGAGAGAGGGGGAGTGGCAGTGTAGTTGCTTGGAGGGTAAGAAATTAGAAACCCTAACTCCAAGTCCTGTTTGTATTAGGAGATAGAGAGAAACCCACTTTTAGTAGGACTTCGACTCTCTTCATTTATGTTAAGTTTTCATAGCAAATGAGTCATTTTAATTAATCGCGTGTTTAATTTATTGTAATTCAAATTTCCCCTTATTTTCGTTGGTTCTTTTAATTTCAGATAAAACTGTATATGCTCCCTTCCTTTATGTGGATAAAATTTTAATTGTGACGAGAATATGAGTGGTACACCACGTGTTTTTATGTAAATGGTGGGAAATTTAATTTTTTAAGTTATTAACTTTTTAACACACATATCCCACAATTTAAATAGTGACATGTGGTGTACCATCCTGTGTGCCAGTCACACTAAAAAATCTCTTCTTTATGTGATGTTTTCATAGCTGTTAAGTCGTTTTAATTACCCACATGTTTAATTTATTTTAATCCAAAATTTTCAACTTTTTTTCGTTAGTTCTTTTAATTTCAAAAAAATAAAAAGTAGTATGTACGCAAATTTATGAAAAAAATAGTATATGAAAATTAGTTAATTCTTTTAATTATGATTGATTGAGATCATATTAGATGCAAATTTATCGAGAATTGTATCCTAATTGTCTTTTACATATTTATATTGCATGTACTCTTTCATGGTTTGATTAAATAGAAGTGTAACGCTTCCAGCAATATGATAAATAGCCACAAATTTTCGAACATCGATTTGCACCCATTATCGAACTTCATGAAGAGGATGAGAGATTGTTACAAAGCTGAAGGTGAGGAGGTTAAGACCAAGTTGGATGCCAAGAACTCGTTTGCTCGAGAACTACACCTACAACATGAGGAACTTCATGAAGGATGAGAATGTTGCTGGGAAACTGGACCCTGCACGCATGCTTTTGCTGCTACGGACTAATAGAAAGTTATACCTGTACACCAAGTATTCTGCTGGTTGTCCACACCTGCCGGAATAGATGAAGGCCAAGCTTTGAATGACCGTACCTGCAGGAAGAAACATCAGATTTTATAGTTCGTAATCCAGCAGTTGATCAGCAAAATGATACTGGAAAGATAATAACAATGTATATGGATGCAATCAAGAAGTAAAATGTTGATTGCACAAAGCAATTTAGTTTCATCACATCAGATAGAAGCGTAAAGTAGTGTTGAACTGGGACAAAGGGATCAATTAGCAACTATAGCTGCAGATAATGATCAGTCGCCCAGCAGAAGCTATCTCAGGCCTCGGACGTGGAGCTGTGGTAATGTACTTACAGCTCCAGCTCCGCTATGCAGAAACATTTTATTGACCTACAACAAAGGAGAAGCAAACAAGTGCATGATTGTTCTTATTGTTTGGTCAAATAATTTAGAGGAGTCATTGTCATATTTGCCTGACGGCACATTGTAGGAAGCAAGTGTGAAATATTGTTTAAATCTTACAGGCTTCAGTGAAATAATTTTGTTCCCGTTGCCACTCTAATCACATTGTGTTTGTTGTATATTACATTCCATCTGTTCTACTTATGTAGAGGAATTCTGAAATTTGACAATGGCGGTGTTTCCAGTTTTATGGGGTTGAAAGAATTTCAGTACAATTAGCACCTGACTTGGATTCAACTGAAGAATAAATGATTGATTTCCTGCAAATTAACTCTTAACCTGCTTCCGCTTAAATTTTTTGTGTTCAAAATTTGAATGCTATGTTTCCTAAACATGATTAAAAGCAGCCAACAAGATCTTGCAAATTAAAAGGAAACTGTGAACACGTAAAGCAAAGGAATGACGACATAAGACTCAACTTATAGAACAAACAAAGTTAGTTCATCGTTGAAACTGAAGAAACACAAAAAGTACTAATAGAAGAAATTAAAGCCGATCAAACTATGGTGGCATGAACTGATCATCCATAAACGAATTATTCCAATGGTTGATGTCGAATAATAATTGGTCGACCACGTTCTCAAAGGTACTTGGATTGCAAGCATCCTCTAAATAAGGAAACATCCCAGTCGTAGTCGGAAAAAGCTCTTGTTGGGTCTCAGCAAGCCAATATTCGTCTAACAAACTTGGATCCCAAGCTTTCTGTTCTACGGCTCCTTCTGCAGCAACTACAGAAGCTGCTGGCAGAGGCGGTTCTTGGGTTTCAGGAGTGAACTCCTCTAACATAAGTGGATTCAAAGCTTGCTCTGCTACTGCTTCACCAGAAACAATCCTGGAAGCTTCTGGCACAGGCAATAATTCATCAACGGTGAGTGTTTCATCAAGGAGATCATGATCATAAACAACATCATCCGCATCTGTAAACTTATTGATCTCACTCACGACCACGATCTCACTACTTAAACAAGAACTGCCGTGTGGTGCCTCCTCCTCAGCAAGATTAATCACATTGGTATTTTGTGATGATGAACCTTTTGACACCACTTGATCATCTTCTTTTTTCATCTTTTTGTTTGTACCGCGCTGCTTCTTCGAATTCGGCAGTTGATCCTTTGATAATGATGAAGTCGAACACTTTCTTTTGTTAATTCTGGACCCTTCCTTCTTCCTCAACCGACAAAGTGCAACATTAAAATCGTAACTAAAATTACTCTTGTTATTCCTAGGACCAGCCAAATGACTATATTCATCTAACAGCCACCTCTTGTGGTCCTCCGAACCTTCGTTCTCGTACCGAAATGTTCTTTTTTGTCCGATATCGGTAGGCCTTCCATCAACTATCCCCTCAACCCGTACGGTGACTGATTTTCCAGTCCAAGTGCCTCCACGTCCCATCTTGCGATCGATGTTGGTACCCTTAGGGTTTAGCCTCTTGAGCTCGGAGAAGAAATACAAGGCTGGTTGATCATCAGCAAGTTGAGTTCCTCCATAGGCTTCCCAAATCTCTGAGGGTTCTGATTTGTTGCCGAAGATGTTGCACCCATGTATAAGGGTGTTGTGCGGCGGCACTAGCGGTATGTTCTCCAAAACGTTGTAGAGAAAGTGGCCCACGAGCTCTTGATGGGTGGGTTTGAAGCGGAAGCCGAACGGCACAAGGGAATTATTCTCCATAGCTAAGGTAACACCAGAAGAGACTGAGTCAAGTGAATTAATGTTGTCTGTTTTCTTGTGGTTTCGATCGGACAAGAACTAGCGCAGTTTGTTTCTTCTCCCTGTAGTTGTTTTGGTTTGAGCAAGTGATCGTGAGATTAGTGAGTGGGATTACTTGGGTACTTATAGGTTCCAACGAGTACAGGGATTTTGGTAAGTTCCATGGAGATTAGGGATTTAAAACTCCTGATGCTAGTAGGAATTACTGACAGGATTATGGCGACACGCATCGATCCCGATATTCCCCGAATACCAGGATAGGCACGTGCTGGCCGACACCCGAGAGTGACGAAAGCTATTTATTGAGTGCAAAAGCTGAAAATAAGGGATAGATAAGACTTATAAATATAAAATATAATGAATGTACATTTAAGGAATATGTTCAGAGCATACAACTAACTAGAACACTAAAAGAAATAATATAAAATGGAATGAAACAAAGGATAGATCCTACACTGAGAGGACTTGAAGATGCCGATGCGGAAGTGCCTGGATGCCGGGATTGTATGCCTCGATTCTAAGTCCTGAAGGGGACGCAAAACAAACATGAGTGGACCAAGTTTATATATATATATATATATATATATATATATATATATATAATATGAAACAGTTATCAACATATTAACCCTCATGTTTTATGAAAACACATATATATCATGATAAACATAGGTTTTCCGAAACCTAGCATGCCGTGCAATGTCTCAAATCGTAACTTGTATATATAATAATCACTAGTGAATGTCCGATAACTCTCCAGGCCCCATGCCGGCTCCTCGTCTCTGAGCAAACAGTCAGAGGAAAATAACCCCCAGGTCCCATGCCGGCTCCCTGTCCCTGTGCTAATAGCCAGAGGAAAAACACTTCAGGTCCTATGCCAACACCATAATTGTCGCTCGGAAAGGACTAGAATCTATCCATACATCCCGTAGCAGAATAAGGACCACTAGTTAAGTACAAAACCATTGAACATACACATATATTGAAAAACAACTTCATAGTATAAAGTCATCCATCATCTATACTATAAAGAGGTGTTCAAACATGTTCTAAATATCATATCGTCATCCATCAGATATTCTACAAGAACACGAGCTATAGGAAAAATAGTAATAATTCAAAATAGCCTCAATAAGCATGTTATCTCAAAGCGTTTCATAAAATGTAATCATTAAATCATGCTTTTCATGTATGCATTTCTACTATTAAAACATGCATTTTAGAAGGGATCCACTCACAGATACTTCGTCGTTGAAGAGCCACGCAAATTAGTGAAGACAGAAACGCCGCAATAATTGTCCCTAAGCACATACAGGGCCCAATTAATAAAACTCTATTATAACAATTGAATTTGGGAAAACGGACGTCGAAAACGGATTCAGGACCTTAAATTATCCTAAGAAGGGTCCCAGATAAATTTCGTAAAAGTCAATAGAATATTCCCCATAAAGGGTTTGGGCCGGCTAGGGTTTAGGGTTTGGACTTGGGTTAGGTTTAGGTTTAGGTAGGTTGGGCTTAGGATAATGTGTTAATGGGTTAAGGGTTTTCTAATTTAAAAAGGGTTTTGGGTTAATAGGTTAGAGGATTGGGTTAAGGATTTAGTTTCAAACAAATAAAATACATAAATAAATAAAAGGGTTCCAAGGCCCAAAGGCCATATCTGATGGATTTTGGGTTAATGGGCCGAAGGCCCTAGGCTGCACAAAAGGGGCTTGGGCTTAAAGGCCCGGCCCAATTCATTTGGGTTTTTATAAAATTAAATAAATAAATAAATATAAATAGATTAAAGGATTTGGGTTGGGTTTAAAAGGATAACGGGCCTAAGGCCCTACGTTTAGCACGGCCTAAAAGGCCTGGTTCAAAAGGATCTCGGCTTGAAAGCCCGGCCTGAGTTCAGAACATGGGTCACCGGACCTAATTGAAAGAGAAGGCCGGATTTCGGCCGGAAATCTGGACAAACTTTAAACGTTTATAACTTTGTCAATACTCAATGAAATCAAGTGATTCAAAAATGAAAGTTGTAGTCTTAGGGAGACGAAGAGATTGATACCTTGCACACTGCCAACTCGCTGTGGTTTGACCGGAAATTAGCTCGAAAGCCGTCAATTTCTCGCCGGAAATCCAGGGAAGTCTCCCCGACGTATTTCTTCATGATTTGACGTCCAAAACACAACCACGGGGTCAGAAAAGAACTACAGGGATGAAAAGAGAAGCATTTGGAGTGTTTTGAGGCTTACCCAAAACGGAAGGACGAAGAACTCGCCGGAGTTTCTCTGTGCTCCACAGAGACGAAGAGAGAGAGAGAGAGAGAGAGAGCTAACGTGGTGATGATGGTGATGCTATCGTTGTTGATGGGGTGTGGGCACAGGTGTGTGTGGGTTGGTCCTCGGGCAGAAAAAGAGAGTTGCAGAGAGAGCCGAGAGAAAGATAAGGGAGATAAGAAGAAGAAGAGGGAGAGAATAAGAAGAGGTTGACTCGAGGGAGAACATAGAGGAGAGAGACCGGGGACACAAAAGCAAGGTGGGCCCCCTGGGCCTATTAAAATCCAAAAACAATTTTAAAGCAAGGTAACCTCAACCTTAGTGAATATACAAATTAAATGAGGGGGGGGGGGGTGTAACATAGGGTTTTGGTAAGTTGCTTGGAGAGCAGGGAATAAAATCCTAAAGTTACTAGGATTTAGTGGATTAACCATAACCGTTGACGGTACATGAGAGGTCTGAAAAATTAAAAGTTAAATTTTGCATAGGTAATTAAGAGTCACTCTGTTAGGTAATTAGTATAACTATACTATGAATCCTTAACTCAATTGGTAAGTCTTCATTGCTCAATCTTAGACGTCAGATAGTGATAGTTTATGCTATGATTTCGTTTTATTTTCATCGTTAACTCCAAAAAAATTTAAAACGGAAATTGAATAAACTATGGAAATTTTTAAGAAACAAAGGGAATAAGCTTTGGAAAAATAATTTTTAACATTTCTAACTCAACTATAAAAAATGGTCACCCTTTTTTCTTTTTTACAAGAAATAATATGCTTCCCTAAAGAGAAGAGGTTTATGTGACATTATCAAACAGTCAATAAAATTAGGAATCTTCTGAAACATGAGGCTTGTGCAATGGTTAAAAATCTTAACTTATTCAAATTTGTTTATCTTCTACTTAATACATGCTCTATTTTTAGTACAAGAAGTAAAAATAAATTAGCTCTAGCTGTTTGGAATGATATTCAACATCTCTTCATGGATTGCCACTTCCTATATAGGATGAAAACGTGACTCAACTTAGAGATTCTCTCAAGAATGGCAGAAGAACTTTAGAGAATACTATGCTGAAGGCGATTCTAAATTAATTGTTTATTGTATTATGAGAAACAGTTTTTGAGTATCAAAGAACGTCTTACAACTCACATCTTTGTTCCTAAAGCCTAACTCTAATGTGGTTGAAAACAATCTTATTATAATTTTGTTCCTATATTTCCGATATGAAGTCTCATCCAAAGCATTAGATAAAGCTGCTATTGAGATATTGGTCCCTTATGGTATCTCGTACACATATGTAGAGAATTTTACTATATTCTATGGGCATCATGTCTTTCGAAAAACAGAAGATAATTCTCTATTTAATATCATTGTTTGTATAGAACTGTGTGTGTAAGAATCAATGTTCTTAACCACTTTAACTGCACAATCTCCTATGCCACTAAACTTCCTCGTCTATACAAGATGGTGTTCGTTGCTTTACTGTACATATTTTCTCACTCACTGTCCTAAAAGACTCCCGCAAACTGAAGTTTGCTGGAAAATCTCCAACATCCTTTGACAAGGAAAGAGGCAGAACCTAGTCAGATATGGGCTTAAAATAGTAACAAAGGAAAAGCAGCCCATTTACCCATTCCTGTGGGCCTTAAAATCAGAAACATAATTTCTTAAAATATTAATTACTCTCCATGAATTCGGGAGAAAAAACAATTTTTTTCTTTTTCTTTTCTTTTTTTTTTCTGAAAAAAAAAACCCTAAAATCCGATTTTCTCTGGAACCCTAATTACCCAAATCTCCCAATTCATCTTGTATCCCAACTTACCTTTCGTTGTGGTTGGCTCAGTAACCCCATACCGCCCTTCTGCTCTCAGACACTATTAAATCCGAAAGATGCAACCTTCAACCTCTCTCCTTTGATAAACCCCAGTTTATGGAGATAAATTCCCAATCCACTCCAACCCAACACCAAATCAATCAATTTATCCGAATCCGACCCGAACCCATTTCCAAAACCAAACTTTTCGACGACCCATCTCGCCGGCCGCCGCTTTCTCGCTCCCCATGGCCACCGACGCCACCGCCAAGTTCCAAAACCCGGACTTTCACCCGGTTTCGAAGCCGCAGGATTACGTCCCAACCCCCACTGTCTCGCCCCACGACGGCCTACACTACTGGCAGTTCATGATCGCCGGTTCGATTGCCGGCATGGTCGAACATATGGCTATGTTCCCGGTCGACACCGTTAAAACCCATATGCAAGCTCTCGGGTCGTGCCCGATTAAGTCTGTCGGGGTCCGGCAGGCCCTCGGGTCAATTTTAAAGTCCGAGGGACCTGCCGCGCTATACCGCGGTATTGGAGCCATGGGCCTCGGCGCGGGTCCGGCGCACGCCGTCTACTTCTCGGTGTACGAGACGTGCAAGAAGTATTTCTCGGGCGGGAACCCGAACAACCCGGGCGCCCACGCAATTTCCGGCGTGTTTGCAACGGTGGCGAGCGACGCCGTTTTTACCCCGATGGATATGGTGAAGCAAAGGCTGCAGCTGGGGACTAGTTTGCACAGCCCTTATAAGGGTGTGTGGGATTGTGTGCGGAAGGTGTTCAGGGAAGACGGGTTTAGGGCGTTTTACGCGTCGTACAGAACGACGGTGCTGATGAATGCGCCATACACGGCGGTGCATTTCGCGACGTATGAGGCGGCAAAGAGGGCTTTGAATGAGATTTCGTCGGAGCATGCGGACGACGAGCGGTTGATTGTTCATGCCACTGCTGGTGCTGCCGCTGGGGGGTTGGCTTCGATGGTTACTACGCCGCTTGATGTGGTGAAAACTCAATTACAGTGTCAGGTATGGTAATTGTTGGCCTTTCCATATTAAGATTCACTTGTTGGTTTGATTTAAATACATTCCGATGCAATTGATAACCTTTTAGTTTCATTATACAATCAATCACTTTAATGCCCCGTTAGTTTCAAGCCCACGGTACTAGGCTCGGCGATAATTGATAGCCTGTAGTTACTAAGAAAATGTAGACACTGATTGCTCAGCTGTGTGATCTTTTCGATTCCCAGCATCTAATAGAGATGTTCCATAGCAATAAGGTGGTAGTTCTGTTTTGTAGGTTTTAGCAAAATTTGTCTACTGATGAAATCCTAGGTTATTGTTACGTGGACTGGATGTTTGTGCTTGCATATTGTGTTTTTCCTTTTCTCATTTAAAGAGGTAATATGGGGCGGAGAGATCAAATAATCTTGTCTAAAGTCGATTGGTTAAAGCGCTCTCTTATGTGATTCAGTGATTGTATCTTTTTTTGTGTATAGTCCTGTTTAAGCGGTCTCTTGAAAGTGGGATTCTGTGTCACAATCACGATTAGTTAGTCTGGTTGGACGACATACTATTAAGAATTGGAACGAATGGCTGATAAATCATAGGCCTTAGTTGTAATGGAATTATGGTAACTGATGATTCATATGCCTGTAGTTGTAATTGAATTACTATATCCGTTGATTCTTCCGATGATTCACATACCTTTAGTTGTGATGGTATTACTAGGCGTAGGATGATTTGATTGAAGGTTTAAATACTCGTATGAATACAAACCTGTCTGAAGCTTTTCTGCTTTTCTTAACATGGATTTGTTGTACAGGGTATTTGCGGATGTGACAGATTTAAAAGTGGCTCGATAAGTGATGTTTTCAGAACAATAGTGATAAAGGATGGATACAAAGGGCTTGTGAGGGGGTGGGCTCCGAGAATGCTTTTCCATGCCCCAGCTGCTGCCATCTGCTGGTCCACATATGAAGCCTCAAAAACCTTCTTCCAAGATCTCAATGGTGGTAGTAACAGCGGCACTGTAACCTGAAGAGACCTCTAAAGACAAACGAGATTTGTCCGCTTCATTAGCGATACATCTGTAGCCTGTATAATGGACAATCGGAGTTGCTTCACACAAAGGATGAGTAACAGAGTAAGAAAGTCGATCGGAATTTTTTCATACCTGACTCCAGTCTAGTTAATGGGCGGTGGTAGTCCGGTGAGTTGGATTCATTGGTGTAGGTTAAATTAATTGTACTTCAGCATTGTTGTCTGTTTTAATAATTTTTTTCCCGGTCACAGATTTTGTTCTAATAAACGTAGAAATCAAATGTTTTGTTCTTTCATTCCTCAGAGTTCGTCTTACATGAACGAAACCCTTTGGAGTCTTTTTCGTCATTGGGTTTCTTGTTGTTGTATGAATCTATCAATCAATCAATCATAAAGTTTTGAATTATATTCGATCTCTCAAAAATAATTTTGGCGTGTGTTGTTGATTTCTGCTTCATGTTAGAGTCGTATCGGTCCTACTTTTCTAGACACTTTCTGTTAAAAAATTCAAGTGCTTCTCGGAAAAGCACTTTGAACGTACTATTTCCATAAGTACTTTTACATCTTTTTGTCAGGCGTTATTAGAAGTGCAATAGTGATATAAAATGTTAATGTGGCTTAACCGTGACTGCACAAAATAGGAGGGGATGTGATTGTATGGGAACTGGGAGGGCAGAGAAGCCGGGTCCCAATTTTAATGGGCAAAAGTTTCACTTTGCTGTAAGTTTCCGTGGATCTTTCACTGTTACAAGACCATAAAAATAACAGATGAAAATCGACGAAACCAGGAAAAGGGAAAGTTTGTATTTGAAGTTTCAATCTCTAGGAGGAGACCAAAAATGCTTCATAAGCTTACAACCTGATCAACAATCAGAGTGATATCATCCGGCTTTCCACCTGCACAACAGAAAACTCAGGTCCGTCATGACATCGAAGATTGAGGTCCTTATCGTCATAGTATAAACCGAGATAGGTCGTGCCTGTAAGCTTCATTCCGAGAATCTTCTTCCATAAAGGAGGCTCGAAACCCTGAAAGGTGTTACGGAGGAAGGGAATTAATACGTAATTATGTTTTCGTTGAGAGAGAGTATTATGATTTCGAAGTTGGTTAAGTCGGATAGATTACCTTACCCTTGATCTAGCCTCCATGGAGTAGGGAGAATCAAAGTTTGAATCCAGTGAATGATTGTTTGCCCAATTAGCTAATGCCTTTGCTAGCATTAAGATCAGTTTCAGTTAGAAAGAACATAAATCTTACGCTAGCTGACCCTCTCACATTTGTTTGATTTCGGAAATACATACCGGCCTCAGCAACGTCTCTGTATCCGGCCACTATCGAAACTATTTCATGGTGCAAAACGTTGTCAAAAAATCCGTCGGAGCCCATGACTACGGTGTCTCCTTCCATCAGCTCAACATTGGAAACCTGCAAATGGAATGATTACTCCACAAGCATAATCACCAAAAATCATCATATCACAAAAAGGAATTAGATTTAGGGCAAATCCAAGACGTTTTGGAAATCTGTTTATTCGTTTGTTGTAGGTTCTATGCAACTATGAAGTAGTGATTGTTTTCATACCAGTACTCGAAATTCGTAGATCCGTTATGTTTCAATGTAGAGAGCAGCTAGAGGAGATATAAAACTCCCTAAGATATTTGTGTATGTGTGTGGAGTTGATTCGAAGTAGAACGCAGGACTAGAAATGTTTGACAGTAATCGTGTACTGTTAGTTCGGTGTAAATACCATCGCATCATGGTACGTTTGGCCAACGATCTCCGAATAAAGTTGGTATGGACAATCGAAATAGTGTTCTTGTGGAGATGTGGAAAAATTAATTTTACCTGCAATTCACATTTACATGTCATTTGAAGATAGAGCAATCGAGGGTTGATCAGAACTTGTGCACAAGAAAAACATCCGGTGTTACCTTCACGAATAACCCTTAATCCGCAATCCCCGACATTGGCAATTTTCAGAGTCCCATTCCTCTCCAGCACGGCAATCATTCTACTTGGATAAAGGAAAGCTAAAGTAAGAATCTCTTGAACAAATATGGCAAACTACAGCGAAGATTTCTTGATCGAAATGATGAACTGACACCGTAGCAGAACCTATCGAGGAAGTATAAGCATGTGCCTTTCGTATCAGAATATGAGGATTGTTGTTCACCTGCTATATGGACGTGCATTGGGTTTCTTAGCAAACACGAAATTTGCACAAGCTCGAAAATCTACTTAAAAATAGTGAAAGTGGTACTTGGTTTTGTGAGAAACTACCTCCTCATCTCCCACAAAATTTGAGGCATTGGCCATCAATTCTTTGGGGAACGAAGAAGGATCCACATCCTGTTCAGCACAACTGCCAAGCCAAAAAATGAGAAGATCAGAACTTCCAAAATCAACAGTTGAATTATGTGTCCACTCCTTGGAGTTTCTTAAACCAAATTTCCCTAGATTTCTTGTTCTTTTTTGAATCGTAAAACGTAATAGGGTAGATAAGCAAGCCAACATAAGTTCCATACCCAGAAACACCATCAGCAATAGCAAGAACTCCTCCATTGTAGCTGCTCACAAAGAAAACATCTTCCCCACCTTTTTCAACACACAAAAAAATATATAAAGTATCAAGTATAGTATACACTGAATTAGATAATTCAAAGTAGAAAATGGATTAGACGTGAAGGATCTTATCCCTCTTAGTCCCCTCCCCACAAATGGTAGAATTGTAAGGTGTAAGATCCTTCAATTAAAATCCCTGAAACCTCTTCAATTAAAATCCAAGTGGAAAAGTACCTACCTTTTTCTAGGGATAATACATGTGTCTATCTTTAAGTTGCACGTCATTGTTAACTGTTGTAATTAATGTATTGTTTATCGTATAAATATTAGTTACTTTCAAAATTATTAATTTATTTCATACATATACATGATTCAATGATACTAATCTGATTCTTTTCTCTTTTTTTTTTTCTGCAAATATAATGTTACAATGATGCCTGTTGTGATGTTTGAACAGTGAAATATACGTCATAAAAAAATAAAAAATACAAAATAAAAACTGTTGTCATAGACTGACAAAAGTATTTTGTAAAATGATAAATACACTTTTTTTAGCTTCTCACACAACCCTATTTAATTTTGGCCGCCGTTTTTATTTGATTTATTCAATCCCATAAGAAAAGACAAAGAGGAGTATGTATTAGGCTAAAAGGAGTGTGTGAACATCACTCGAAAGCAATTTATTGTATTTACCTCTCAAGTGACATCAAAGCACCAGTGGTCTAGTGGTAGAATAGTACCCTGCCACGGTACAGACCCGGGTTCGATTCCCGGCTGGTGCATACCTTTTTTCTTTTTTTTTTGTTTCTTTATATAAATCGCTTCCAGTTCACATTTTCCGGTCCGTTTCCCCCAAAACGCTCTCACTCTTCTCATATTTTTGGTTCTCTCCGCCACCGAAACGACGACGATGAACGCCACAGCTCCGCCTGATGTCATCCAAGGTTTCGTATTTCCCACAAATTTCTCTTCTTTTTCACTTAATTTTCCCTACTCGATTATTTACTATTATTATTGATATGTGCATTCTAATTTCAGTCACAGATTACCAGAACGGAAGCGATTCCGACACCAACATCGACGACGATGACGGCGATGCAGCCGCCGCCGAGTTCTACCAGCCAGTCTCCGCCGTCGACTCCGAAGACGACGAAGACCAGATCGGAAACGACGCCGTCCCGATCCACTCCCAGCTGCACTCCAACGGCGTCACCGTCAATCAGATCGACAGAGGAATCTCGTCTCTCCAGCTAAACGACGGCGTCGGGCGCAATGATCGCTTGAACAGCAGCAGCGATGACGAAGCGGAAGCAGAAGAAGTGGAGGAGGAGGTCGCTTCCGACTCGGAGATAATTAGGGCTTTCAGAGAAGACGAGAATCGCAGAAACGCGCCGCTTACGGCGGAGAACGCGACTAGGGTCAGGGAGGCCATGCGTGGAATTTCCTTCGCCGGAGCTCCTCCGCATTGGGCGGGTCTGATCCCCGAGAACAACTGGATGGACCGCCTTCGCGGGCTCGGGCAATCTTCGTCCCGGAGGTGAAAATGTTTAAATCTTTGTATCTCGTTTTCTCGGATTGGAGTGGATTGCAAATTTTCAAATCTGTTGGATTTGCGTGTAATCAGACTTATATGTAAAATGTAATTTCAATAATATTAGTTCTACTAATCCAATTCTTCCAGCTTATTATGCACTACTAATTTTGATTAGTTCTACAAAACTCTAAAACAGTAGTAAATTCCGGCAAAGTTTTGCCGTTGAAGCGGCTTCATCTGCCCCGTGCTCTCCATTTGCCGCCTACAGCCGCCATTAGCAAATGTATTGCATTGTAATCGGATACTGTTGGAGAAGAAGGTACATTATGGCCTCTCTCAAGCAGCAATGTTCTCAATGTCTGCACTTCTCTCCATTCTCTTCACAATGCCAGCTATAACCTGATACATGATCCATACAACTTTAGAATCGAAGAAATTAAGCAACCTACGACGAAGATCAACTGAAATTCTATTGGTGTTACGTGTAGTGTTGTGTACCTTTCCGGGTCCCAATTCATAACTCTTCTTCAGCCCTTTGCCGAGGAGGGTCTTGACGGTTGTTTCCCATTGAACAGGAGAAGTCACCTGTGATTTTGAGTTTAGGTCTTGATCAGTATCTTGGTCGTGAGACGTGATAGGGAGGAGACTGTTCTAGCTAACTTACCTGACGAGCCAATATCTTCTTAATTGTCTCGGGATCTGAATGTGGCTGTGCGTCAACGTTGGAGATAACTGGTATTCTTGGTGTCCTGATCTGTGTTTCTGCCAACTTAGCTTCTAATCTTGACACGGCTGGTTCCATAAAACTAGTGTGGAAAGCGCCAGCAACAGCTAGCCGCACCTGAGCAAAATGGAAAAGGGAAGAAGTGCGTTCGTCATCACTAGTTAATAGGAGAAGAATGAAATTGCATCGAAGTAGGAAATGAAGAATGGTACCGTCATTCGGGCCTTGAATGACTTTGCCTTGGCCTCTACTGCTTCTATTCCCTTCACACCACCAGATACAGCATAATTTCCCTACCGCAACAAAATCATGCCACGGTAAAAAAATTTGTTAAAATCGACGAAGATGCAATCAACAAGTCAGGGTTACTAAGTTGAAGTCCTTACGGTGCATAGATAATTTGCAATCTGAACTTTGTTAGCTTCATCAACTTCTTCATTGGCCGCATCACACAACTGTTGGACCTTGTCTGAGTCCAACCCGATGACACTGACCATGGCACTTTTGGCAGCATCGGCAGCTGCCTGAAGTAAATTGTATAATAGGAAGCATGTTAGTGTAACAAATTATGAACCCATTCCCTCGAGGAACATGTATCGACACGCAACCAAAAATTTACCTGCATGGCTTCTCCCCTCAGTTTGACCAGCTTGAGCCCATCCTCAAAGCTTACATATTGAATCAAGTCAACAAAAAAAATTAGTACAAGAAGGCGGCCAAGTACTACGACTACATTAACATTACTCTTCTTTCCTAAACCTAGTACTAGGTGAACAACGAAAGCGATGCTTCCTCTCCCTCATATTATAAACATGAAAAGGCGGGATAACAGTTGAATTCATGTGTAAACTCTTTCATGCTCCCGCCATAACAGAAATGAGATCAACAAGTTTAACAGATTTATTCGTTCGGTATGCGTCCATGATGTTGCTCAGTTCAACAACTCACCTGAATGACTCGGCAAATGCTAGAGCAGTATATTCTCCCAAACTTAGGCCACATGTGACATCAACTGAATCAATGATCAGCTGACCACCTTCACGTGCACGTAGTAACTCAACGGCAGCTAGACTTGTGACATAGATAGCTGGCTGCAAAGTAGTGGATACTTATCAACGACAATCACAAAAAAAACCTCATCCTCGAACATTTGACATAGAAGAACATAAATGTTACATCCCGACCCCCAAGATCATTGACTATAGTTTATAACGTGCACATTCAATACATATATAGAGTAAAACAATCCTGTTTCTGTAGAACTAAACTACCTAACAAGTAACTCATCACATACCTGGCTTATAACGGTTGAATCTAATTTCTCTTTTGGTCCATTGATACAAACATCCAAAAGATCAAACCTGCACACAGCATAGACGTTAGATCACTCACGAAAACCACTTTTCGTTCACTGAAAGAAAATAAGTATATTTTCAGAGCAAAAACTAAAATAAAAGGAACTGTATTTGAAGTTACCCTAAAATGTCGTTCGCTTTCTTGTATAACTCTGCAGCAGCAGGAACACTTTGAGCTTCCTTTCCCATTCCAACTACTTGTGCACCCTGAGTTGCAAAAACAGTACAACATTAACAGAATGAAGCTCAACCTAGAATTCGAAATCTCTATCTTTAGCACCATAACATGATGAAATTCCAAACAAACTAACACATAGGGCTCATTTGGGAGTGTTTCTGTAGGAAGTAATTCTACTCGTAAGCTCTTTTGTAAGAAGAGCTTTTATTAAAAGCATGTTAAATAATTTATCACAAATCCAATTGCTTACTAAAAGTACTTTAATGGGCCATAAGCACGTTTGACTTCTTCTACAAAACGGAGTTAAAAGCACTTTTGGTTGTTTAGAAGAAGCAAAATTGAAGTATTCAATTATAACCCAAATTACAGTTTTTCCCAAATTAAAAACCAGCATTCTAATTTTAAATTCTATTCCTACATGAGAATGACTAAGTTTCTTGGTGAATTCAGAAGTCACTATCTTTAGCACCATAACATGATGAAACTCCAAACAAACAAACACGCATAATCTGTCCGGGTAGGAATTATTTCTACTCAAAAGCGCTTCTGCAAGAAGCACTTGTAGCAGAAGCATATCAATGTATATAATAAAACTCCAAGTACTCCTTGTAAAAGCCCTGCACTAAAAAGTACTTTTATGATCCATAACCACTTTTGAGCTTCTGAGTTGTTAAAACTATTCAATTAGTTACCCTAATTACAAACATTTCATATAAACTAGCATGCAAATTTTGGATTCAATTACTAAATTAGACTGAAATTTGAGCAGTAAAGTAACGACATTGTTCACGTTAAAGAAATCAGATGGCAGCGGAGAAACAAACTCACTTGGCCAGGGAAGAGGAAAGCAGAGGAGGGCTTGTAATCGGCGAACAAGGCGTCGCTTTGCAGAGTCTGCGATCCGACGGAGGCGGCCATGGAAACTCTAGATTGTCCGAAGTTTCGGACTCCGAGCTGGGCTCCGGCGCCAATCCGGATCCCCGAGAAGGATGAGGAGTTGAGAGAAATGGAGGACGGGAGGGCTATGGAGGCGGCCATGGTGGCAAGTGAGGTGCGAAGGATAAGAGGGTGGTGGAGGTTAAGCCTGAGGGAGGTGTGCATATAAGGAGGGGTAGGCGGATTGAGTGATATAGTGCGCAGAGGGTGTTGAGGTTAGCGGAGTTTACAAAGTTGGGACGTTGGAGGTGGCCATCAAAATCAAGAAATACCGTCCAACTGCTTTTTAGTTTTTGTGTCTTGTTTTGCTCATCAGAAATTACTGTAAATTTCATCTTTCATAATTAATTAATTAATTATAAAATTCGAAAAAAAAATCTGACATAAGTTTAGCCGAGTTGAATAGAGCATTGGGATCATTCTTGTGCACTCAATTTCGAATCCTTTTTTATTTGGTAAAAAAAAGTCGAATCCTCCCTAAAATCGAGCTATTAGAATATTTATGATGTTTAAACAAATAACAATAGCGAGATGATTTAATGAGCTATCATAGTGTTGAAAAGTATCCATGTCAACAATATTGACATGGATTTTCAAGAGAATGCAGGACCTCCTTTCTTTTTAGTTCATACTCTTTTGGATGACTGCTCACGATTCGCTAGAATTAGAGTAGTTGTTCTTTAGTGTTTCTTTTCTCTTTTTCTTCCATGTTGCTAAAAAAAAAATTTCAATTTAAACACCAACCCAATGATTAACATTTGCAATTACAATTCCCAACTCTTGTAAAGTAAGAAAAGTTTAATTTTACATAATCTTCAACAAAATCTTAAAGTAAACTAATCAAAGATGAAAATTACAATTACAATTAATCAAACTGAATGGCTAGTAAAGCCAAATCAACTTGATTAAAGTAAGAATTCAAGACTCTTGTGGGAATATATATAAATATATGATACAATGGCATCTTTTCTCTCTATTTTTCTGCTATTTTGGTTGACAACGGGGCAAGCTCGAAAGAAAAAGAAAAATTACATAAAAATATCACGAGGCCATGAGACCTCAGCTATATCTGCAACTAGCAATTGATGACAAGGAAGAGGAGCTTGTGTAAAAAAACTGGGCCCAAACTACATGACAAACCCAAATGAGTCAAATTATCAGCAACAAAATTCTTTTCACGGTAAATATGATGAATTTGAGCCAAAAATGGTAAATATTCTTCTCCTACTTCGCTTCTGCTCTTAATATGGTAAAAAAGGGCGTCTCCTTTACCGACGTTGAAGTTACTCTTGTTTCTGTACAAACAATTTGAGTCATGGAAAACAACTTGTTTGCTCGTCTCTATATATAATCAGACAACCATTAATTCACTGGATGGATCCTTCTTGCTTCTTATAACTCTTGCTTTGTTGTCTTTTATCTCTAGAACCTGTAAAACATAGTTAAAATACAGATTTAATGAATTTAATCCCCGTTAAGCATTCAAGAAACTAGCATCTGACAGTAATGCACGGAAGCAGCTGAACTTAAGTTTACCTCGGGTCTTGAATTAAGAACTCCGCTGGACATCCCAACATCAATCCGCCATATGCTACAATCGTACTCACTGCAAAGAAGTCCATAATTCAAGAACTGTATCTACAAAAGTACTTTCATTTGGAGCACAAGAACCAAATTGCACAGAAGAACGATTGGTGTCATACCAGTTTACTCCCGTAGGTTGAGGAGTATGCCCCACAACCATTCCCTTGGCGCCAACTGCTTTTAGCGTCTGTTGAAGAATATAATTTATCTGAAAGATGATTTAAACAAGTCAGTATAAGACCACATTCAGGAGGATGAGAACTCAATCTTGAACCCCAGCCTCGTTAGAAGAAGAGGGACCGACTTATATGATAGTGAAACAACCAAGGATTTCCAAGATATTGTCCAATGCAGTCAATGAAATCTGCTGGCGGTTCTTTTTAATTCTAATCGAGTTATTTTACCCTGAGTATTGAAACAACTGAATATGAAAAGGGAACCAAAACATTGTCACTGACATGCCTGGTTAATTAATCTGATAGTCATCTAAATCTGATGTATCTCTCGAGTACAAGCGGTTCCAAACTACACTGTCATATCCCTTGGTGGCGATGAAAGGGAAGCGTGGGTTGTCATCACTCTCAACAAGGCCTCTCATCCAGTCAGATACTTCCCTGTTCATCCTCTCTACTCCGTATGCAACTGCAGAAGGATCAATACTCCTATCAGGCAATGCAAACAAGAAATATATAAGCTTCTTCTTTAAAAGTTTGAACAGCCATTGACACCAGAAAACCGCTTTGTTCAGATTGTAGTACTATTTTACAATGTTGAGGAACAAGACCACCGTTATGATAAGCCATGTGCTGATAAGCCATGTGCTGCTGACATGCCATGTGCTGCTGACATGATGAAATGAATATTCTAAATGAAACCCATGAAGAATATGTCGAAGATGCTGATGAAGATGGGCAGAAGAATATTGCATGATCACACAACTAGACAATCACTTTATTGTAATTATTTATTGCATGCGTGTGCTATTGTTTATTGCATGCGGGTGTATGTAAAACTGTATAAAGACCATACTGCTATTGAAGCAGAGATAGGTAACTGAGCTAAAGTATATTCCTTTATGGTATCACAGAGCCCAGTCTAACGACAACCTCAAAACACCCAATTTTTTTTTTTTCCCGATGGCCTCTGCACATGAATCATCTCCCCCCATTTCTTCTCCAGTTCTTCCCAATGTCTCCAATTTCCTCACTATCAAGTTGGACCATACCAACTATCCCCTGTGGCAAGCACAGATGCTGCCTCTTCTTCGGAGCCGGAACTTGGTCCCTTTTGTCGATGGAACCAGTGTTTGCCCTCCTGCCTTCCTCAAGGACACTACAGGCAACACTACTACTGAACCTAATCTGGCCTATGAGGCATGGATCCAACAAGACGCCATGGTGATGTCTTGGTTAAATAATTCTGTTCATCCTACTGTTCTTGCCACTCTCATTGGTAAGACGAGCTCCTACTCTATCTGGACCTCTCTTCGGGACATATATGATTCTCAGTCTACCGGCCGTCTTCTTCAGCTCCGAAGTGAGTTAATGAACACTCATCGTGGTGACACTTCCATTGCTGATTTTTTGGATCGTGTCAATGGCATTGCCGATACTCTCTCCCTCTCTGGTTCTCCTATATCTGATGAGGACTTGGTGGCCATCGTTCTTAACAATGTTGGCCCGGCTTATGAGAGTACTGTGGCATCTGCACAGGCTCGAGATGAAGCCATTTCCTATGCTGCTTTAGAAGCTCTTCTTCTCAGCGCAGAACGACGCCAAAAAGGTCACTCCATTCTTCCTTCCGACGCTGTACCGACTATTCTTGCTGCTCAGCGTGGAGGACGCTCTGGTGGTGGTTTCCGGGGTCGTGGCTCTTCCTACCGTGGTGGACGTGGATCTTCTTCTGGTGGTTATAATTTTCACACTGGACATTACCCCAAACCTGGAGGACCACGCTTTGCTCATCCCTCAGGTCCTCCACATCGCTCCAACAATGATGGAGTCCTTGGTACTGCACCTTCCAATGGTGGTTCTGGAGGTAATGTTTTTTATTCCTCTGGGTGAGTTCAATGCCAAATTTGTCAACGCCACGGACATGCTGCCATTGACTGTTTCAACCGTCTGAATATGGCCTATGAGGGACGTGTTCCTGGCTCTCGTCTTCAAGCCTTTGCTGCAGCTGCTCCATCCTCAGGCTCTCGCAGTACCCCTGCTGTTCAAGACTGGCTCTTCGATTCTGGTGCCAACGCCCACATCACCAACGACTTAGCTCAAGTCCCTGCTGCCCGTGACTATCATGGACCTGATCATGTGAACGGAGTAGTTGGTGGCACAGGTTTGCATATTTCAAAAGTTGGCCATTCCTATATTCGAACACCTCATCACACCTTTAAATTATCAGACACTCTTTATTGCCCTAATGCTACCACTAATGTCATCTCCATCAATCGTTTTACCACATATAACAAGTGTTCTCTAACTTTGTCTCCTACCTCTTATCATATTCAGGACATGCAAACGGGGAAGATCCTTTTGCACGGCCAGAGTAGGAATGGCTTCTATCCCTTTTCCAGACTTTCCATCTCAAACAATAATGGCGTTTTTGCATGCATCGGTACTCGTGTATCAGATAGTATTTGGCATTCTCGTTTAGGACATCCATCTAGTTCCATTTTGAAACTTCTTGTCACTAGAAATAAATTGCCCATTTCTGGTAAAGTTAACAGTGAAGTGTGTCACTCATGTCCACTGGGTAAGAGTCATAAATTACCTTTTTCATACTTCTGTGTCGTCATTTCCTTTAGAATTGATCCACTCTGATGTATGGACGTCTCCGTCTCATTCTATTAATGGATTCAAATATTATGTTATTTTTATTGATGATTTCTCTAGGTATTCTTGGATTTATCCTTTAAAATTAAAATCTGACGTCTTTGCAACTTTTGTCACTTTTCAAAAATTAGTGGAAAACATGTTTAGTACCACAATAAAATCATTTCAAACAGATGGAGGTGGCGAATATATCAATACTCATTTTAAACAATTTTTGGCAACTCGTGGCATACATCATCGTTTCACTTGTCCACATCATCCGGAACAAAATGGCTTAGCCGAAAGAAAACACCGTCATTTGGTCGAAACTGGACTTACTCTTCTTGCTCATGCATCTTTGCCTGCGTCCTTTTGGGTTGAAGTCTTTCATACGGCTAACTACCTTATCAATCGGTTGCCAACAAAAGTTTTACAAAATGATTCTCCTTATTACAAATTATTTTCAAAATTTCCTCAATTCGATTTTCTTAAAGTATTTGGCTGTGCATGTTTTCCATACTTACGTCCATATAACAATAACAAGTTGCAATTTCGTTCCAAAAAGTGCATATTTCTCGGATATTCATTAAATCAACAAGGATATCGTTGTTTAGATCCATTTACAGGTCGCATATTTTTATCTCGCCATGTTGTTTTTGATGAAAAGTCTTTTCCATACAAAAACTCCATTCCTCCTATCCCCTCTTCTTCCTCTGATGCACTTCCTGCCACGTTAGAATTAGGGCCCCAATATCCTCTCCCTTCTCTTACTCCTATTATAACCTCTTCTTCCCAACCTACTCCCAATATACTACCTACTAACACCACTCCCATATCAGATCCATCCCCTTTATGTCCCACACCCATCAGCTTTTTCCCCAGTTCGAATATAGGGCAATCTCCGCCACTTCCACTAACTACTTCATCTCACTCCATGGTCACCCGTGCTAAGGATGGGATTCGACGACCCAATCCTAAGTATGCTTTACTTGCTATTACTGTTGATGATTTAGTTGAACCTACTTGTTTCAGTCAAGCAAATAAATATCCCGAGTGGAGGCAAGCAATGGCAGATGAGTTTAATGCACTCCAACGCACAGGTACTTGGACACTTGTTCCCTGTCAGCCCCATTTCAATGTTCTTCCAAACAAATGGGTGTATCGCATCAAGCGTAAGTCTGATGGTTCCATTGAACGGTTCAAAGCACGTCTTGTTGCCAATGGTTTTCATCAACAGGAAGGTCTTGATTATGGGGAAACTTTTAGTCCAGTTGTGACTCATGCCACCATTCGCCTCATACTGTCCGTTGCTCTTCACTTTCACTGGCCTATTCGTCAACTTGACGTCCAAAATGCCTTTCTCCATGGCACACTGGCTGAAGACGTTTTTATGAGACAACCATCAGGCTTTGTGGACCCTCAATATCCTACTCATGTTTGCAAGCTTCGTCGTTCTTTATACGGCCTTAAACAAGCACCCCGGGCATGGTTTCAGTGTTTTTCTCATCACTTGGAGGACTTAGGTTTCCTTGCTTCCACTGCCGACTCCTCCCTGTTTACATATTTCAATGGTGCCACTATTATTTATCTTTTGATTTATGTAGATGACATTTTAGTCACTGGGAATGATGCAGCTCACATTTCACGTCTCATTGCTCAGCTTGGCCTATTATTCTCTATGAAAGATCTTGGGCCCCTTAAGTTTTTCCTTGGCATGGAAGTCACTCGTACACCTACTGGCATGTACCTTTCTCAATCCAAATACATTGTGGATCTCCTCCGTCGCACCAAGATGACCGACTGCAAGCCAACTTCAACACCTGCTACTGCCGGTCGTCGTCTTAGTCTTCATGAAGGGGAACCTCTTTCAGATGCCACTGAATTTAGAAGTGTTGTTGGTGCTCTTCAGTACCTTCTCTTCACACGTCCTGATATTGCTTTCGCGGTTAATCAAGTTTGCCAATATATGCATTCACCGACAACCACACATTGGGCTGCTGTCAAACGTATTCTTCGATACTTAAAAGCAACACATGATCATGCCCTTGTCTACACTGCTAGTTCCCTCACTCTCACTGCGTATGCTGATGCTGATTACGCGGGGATCCAGATGATCGACGATCCACTGGAGGTTACTGTATTTTCCTTGGTAGTAATCTCATTTCGTGGAGTTCCAAGAAATAAAGAGGAGTCTCTCGCTCCAGCACAGAGGCCGAATACCGTCAGCTTGCTTACACCTCCGCCACTCTCTCTTGGTTCCGAAACATTTTTCGTGATCTTCATCTTCATCTTCTTCCTCCACGTCTCTGGTGTGATAATATCAGTGCTATCGCTGTTGCCTCTAATCCAGTCTATCAAGCTCGGATGCGACATGTCGAGGTTGATTACCATTATGTGCA